GTGGGTGCAACGTCTCCCCACTCTGGGGCATTTTCCTGGTAGGTTAAAGAAGAGACACAGAAACTCAAAAGTTTACTTGATAAGTGAAAATCTTTTGGGGTTTCCACTTGAACATCTGTATATTGAATTCTGAAGTCAGAGTCAAAGCAGGTAAGTTCTGGGGCTCGTAAATTTGATTCAGAGTTCAGTGTACACTTAACAAACTCAAATACGGTTAGAGTAATGGGATCGGTGGTGATTGGTTTTGTCTTTGCTTTTCGTAGAAGAATGACGTGGTAGTCATCTTATTTTAGATTGCTCATTAGAGTTGCAGTCTGCAAACAATGCTTCCAATAACTCTTCCCCCATGGAGTAGTCTTGCCCTTTACGCGCTAGTGAGAGCGCAGCTGCAAACCATTTTAGCTCACTTAAAAATGAGCACATCTCAAGCCTGAATTCGGGACCCAGTGGCGCACCTGCCCTCTGGAAGCCAACTCAGGGTGCCCCACAGAGAATAAGCACACATTCAGGATGGCGGCCTGTGGGGCGGGAGTGAACAAGAGTGAAATGGTCACCTGCCCTTGTGGTTCGTCCGCATTTTCTGAGGGCTCCAAGGACAGAGGGTCCCTGTGTCAGAGGATCAAGAAACAGGCCCGGCGTCTAAGGTTGTGCTGTGTATGAGGAGTGTTTAATCTGGTTTGTTCTGACTGCTTTCACTTTGCAGGCTTTGCTCTACAGATAATCTGTTCTAAATCTAATAAGGTGGAATGTCTCCCTCCACGCAGCGAAGCGTGAGATCTCGGCGTTGCCGGGGGGTAGTGCGGGAGTCAGGCACTGTTTGTGATTGCTGGTTTCATTAAAGCCCCACAGCAGTATTGTGTTTCTGGGAGTTTTGCCTTCCTGTGAATTTTAATCCCCAGCAGCCCCGGTGGCTGTTTTCATTCTTTATGTAATGATGGTGGAAAGAGCTCCCTTGGCTTCTGGGTTCTGGCTGACAAGTAGATACAGTGAGACTGCATGTGGCCCTGCTCTGCATTTCCGCCCTTAGTGAGCTCTGAGCAGCGGGAGGGAGGGAGCAGGGCCCCTGTGCAGGTGGCAGCCAGAGGAGGGGGGCTCGCAGAACTAGATCGGTTCAACACGGAATTGTGCTTGTTTTCTGAACTGAGAAGCACCCAGAAGCCCTGTTGGTTGTACATTTATAGTTAATGGTGCCAGTGGCGTTCCCGATCTGCAGATGGTGGCCCAGGGGTGACCTCAGGGCACTGTTACCTGTGGATGCAGCTCTGGCACCCCAAGTCAGAGTCCTGAATCAGTACATGCCCAGATGTTTGTCCTAGTAGAGGGACCTTGCTCGCGTGAGCTCATCTGTCCTGAGTGTGATTTTTCCACAGTGTGGCCTTGAGAATGGTGTTTGTTAGAATGAATCTAGTGAGATGGGACATATTTTATCTCCCACTTCCTTTACCGTTTCGTTGCCATGCTGTAATTTGGTTTTCCGCTTGAAAGGTAAGCACACGCCACTGCCTTGGAATTGTTAGCGGAGTTCTGGAGCTAACCTCACACGCAGGCCTGGTTTTGCCAGCTTGGAGGGGTGGAGGCCTGGGG